CCAACATGACCTAGATTGCATTTACGAATGGTCAAAGAGGAACAAGCTTCAATTGAACATGGCTAAGTGCAAAGTGATGCATCTGCGTCACTAGCCGGTGAGCGCTTACAAGATTGGAGACCACACCTTGGCGAAGATTTATCAGGAGCGTGACCTGCGTGTATTGGTACAGGAAGATCTCGGGTGTTCAAAACAAGCAGAGAAGACGATGTGTACCGGAAATCAAAACTACGGCCTTCTTCGCAGAGCCTTCGGTCGGTTTGAACCCACAATATTTCATCAAATGCTTAACGCCTACGTGCGACCTCACGTGGCATATGCTATTCAGGCGTGGCAGCCGTGGCAGAAACAGGATCTCGTTGCTCGCGAGACTCCTCAACGACGGGCAACCAAGAACGTCAGGGGCCTCTTTCATCTGCCCTATCAGCTTAGACTGAAATCTCTGAGAATGTACAGCAGTCGATATCGGCTTTTGCAGAGGGTTCTCATAATGATTTACCAGATTCTGAAGAACCCAAAACACATTTGCCGTCCGCTGCTGGAATTGAACCACTACACTAAACTAAGAGGTCACCCTCTGAAACTGACAATTCATTATAGCCGGCTTGAATGCCGTAGAAATTTCTTTTCTCTCCGCGTGTGCCAGCCTTGGAACTCCCTCCCTAATTATGTCGTGTCTGCCCCCAATCTGGCGATATTTAAAAAACGTGCTGAATATGCATTTTCTCATTAACATTTCATTGTATGACTTGTTAGCCAGGGGCTACAAAACGCAATCAAACGGTGTCTTGCCAAACGCCTAACCAATGGATTGATGGATTTATGCGTTTAATACGCGAACATCTCCGCTATTCCACATAAGTCTATGGTGAGTCCACCACAACGCTTTTCACTTTATTATGCAATTGATTTTCGCAATAATTTCCATCCCACGGGACTTGTTAGGCGATGCTTTTTTACCCGTAATAAACCATTGTTCCATTGTTCCATCAGTCAGGTTTTGGAGTCACATGCGGCGGAAGAGCAATTCGGATTCCGTTCAGCTCGTCAACTGCAGGAGAATTGCCACTAGCAACTTCAGCCATTTTATTCGCTGTTTGTTGATTTCACTAAGGAATTTGATATTGTGAACCGCGAGGCACTGTGGTAATTGTTGAGCAAATTGAGTTGTCCGAGTAAGATTGTAAAACTACCTATTTGCAGTGGTTTGCGGTCGAGGATGCTTCTGATTAGACAAAACTAGTATGACTTTACTGGCCTCTGATCTGCAACAAGCCGGTTTCCAAACCCCCGTCCTCTTTAATATTTACCTAAATACTATGATGTATCGTGTGTTTAGTGCTTGTGATGACGGTGTCCATGTGAATACTGAACATTCGCCGTTTCGGGGCGAGAACCCTAGTGTGTGAGAAAACCATTCGCATGTTACTGTTTGCAGACGGGTGTACGTCGTTTGCCCACAGCGCGGATGACTTGCAACACGTGACTTCGGCTGTCGCTTTGACAGCGGCCATTTTCGGGCTCGCTATCAACGCAAGAAAAACGGTTTTCTTTAGCCTTCTCCGGAAATGGAATTCGTGGACCTGCCGAAAATCCGTATTGACAATGACGTCTTGAAAACCACTTTCAAGACTGGCTATCTGTGGAGTGTACTCTGTACCTACCTGTGGATAGCGAGTGAGCTGCGCATAAGTGTATCGAAAACGTCTGCTGCATTCGAGGGAGAAACTACTACCTGTCTACTGCTGGGACGAAGTTGACTGTATACCGATTGATGGTGTTATCAATTCTGCTATATGGCCGCGAATGGTGGTCGCTGTACCGGAAAGACGTCAGGTATCTGAATCGGATAAACTAACAGTACCTGCGTCGAATTCTGCAAATCGTTTTGTGTGAACAAGTGCCAGACACAGAAGTGTTGCACCGTATTAGCTTCTTTTCAATGGACGGTAGTGGACCTGCAGTCGCCGGGACGTGTCCACTGTATGGGTTAGTCGAGAATACCGATGCAGATGTTATATGGACAGCTTAGTTCAGGGAAGCGGAACGTGGAAAATCGAAGTTACTTTACCAGGACATGATCACGGTGAGTTTATCATAAACTGCTATTGGCTAGCTGTTGGGGGCGATGGCGGTGCATCATATCTAATGGCGCACCCATCATAAGAACGCGGCGACGTAGGTGTACACGAAATTATTGCAGCATAAGGATGAGAAACGTCGGTTGAAGAATCTACAGGCGCTGATGGAGTCTAGCCCGTCGACGTCTAGTGTACGATGCTGTAGAGCATGCCATCAAAAGTGCCAAAGCCAAGCTGATCTGCGAAGCCACCAGCGTGGGCACTTAGAGCCGATATCACAAATGCAACAAGTCAGGCGATTAGATAATTATTATCAACGCATCGCATCAGATATATATATATATATGTATATATAAAACGCTGGCCCAATAAACATTTAGCATATTGCCACGATACGAGTAACAATAACTTAAAGGAGGAAGAGCGTCAGCTGAATGGATTGGAGGTTCCATGGGTTGTGTGGGCCATCAGCTTCCCGTTTGCCCTGACCGAGGAAGAGAGTTGACTTAAAGGAACCCCACCCCGAGCCTTTGGTCTTAAATACCTGACCGGCAAGGCAGCGAAGTGATTCACGAAAACCGTTGACAGCCAAAAGGCTCATTCGCCTTCCTTATTTTCGAAAGCAGTCCACCGAGAAGCCGTTGGTCAGCGAGGTTGTTCATCCGCCCTCCGTCAGATACTCACCACCAGTTCCAGGAGTGAGTAGTCAGGGGCCCCATAGCCGCTTGGTACTTACGCCCGTTCCTGTTCAATTGCATTTACCAACCCAAGCCAACATTGCGGTCAATGTGGCTTGTGTGCCACGGCATCACTGCAGTTGGTCAGTACGTATGCAAATTCATTTTGTTTCATTAATTACAAGCGTTTGTTTGTTGATTAATATGCCTACTGTGGCTGCACTTAATGTGAATATTTATAAGCTTCCAACCTCGACTACACCAGTTCCAGAAGACAGTTGGCCGCTCCTTGGGAGGACAAGGTGCACGGTCGTCACAAAAATCTGGTAAGTATAAATCCCTAGTTAGATAGAGTAGAATGCAGCTGTGCATGCTGAAAGAATATGGGCAGGCTCAGCTGAAGAACCGTCACTCCCTTCGGAATGAATTACACTTACACCTGTTCCGCAATACAATAGAGCTGATTAAAGAAATGTTAGGTTAGCTACTCAGTTCCGTTGAATCTCTGCAAATTCCTTATTTAGTTTAGTTCTCTTTTTAGCCTCCTCGATTCTCGCTGATTGCTGTTCCCTGACTTATGCTTGCACTTACCAATGATCAGCCTTACATTAGATCAGACTTAGTGTATACATTTCGCATTCGCTGAGTTCTGTCGTACCGCCGCACATACACTGTCCAGTCTGCGTGTGTATTCTCTTCCATATTATGTGTTTTCTCTTTGTTAACCCCGGTGCGGCTGGGCTTGATGTGAATGCATGTAAAGTGCATGGCTGTCAGAAAATCGCTTCCTTGATTACTGAGTCCAGGAGACAGTGAACCGTTGCTGGCTGGACAGAGTACGCGGTCCTCTTGGCAATACTAGGCTCAACAAGTGGTTCCATCCAGTTTAGAGTGGACTACGATCCAACCATTGCCTTGTGCACACCCGGTACGCATGTTGAAGGAGTGGGCCGGCTCCGTCGATGAAACGTGTCTCCTATCCACATGCCTCCCGGTCTTAATCCTTCGGATTCGCACTGGATATGGGGTGTGTGGCTAGAACTGTGGGTGGTGCAGCACAAGCCACCCTTGGTCTCTTTGTAGACACAGGCGTCCTGTGGCCGTCCCCATGTAGGCCGCAGTAACAGGATGCCGCCAACCACACACGCAAGCCAATGCGTTTTTACAGAATCTTTGGCACACGTCATTTAGATTTGTCCCTTTGACAAGACTTCATGTGCGACTCGTAAAATAAGAAATCAATTTAAGTCTGCAATTTTAATCAAGAGGGGGAGGCGAACTTTTAACAGAAACGTTCAGTCGACCAGTTTCTCCTCTGGACTCTTGACTCGCATAGGAAATCGCACGTCCACTATTGGAAACACGCTCCTTCACTAGGCTGCCTAGATATCACCTGTCTCTTTATGGGATTTCAACCAAACGATAAATTTGAGATAGTAGAGGGCATATGTAACAACACAGTCTGCGATGTGCGTGTATCATAAGCTTTCCTTTAGCACGAGTTTTATGTGAGAGTCGCTGTTGATGGACATTTAAATGCTAAATAAACAATGTTTTATTCCCGAATTTGCAAGACACCATTAGGTGCTTGATCACGGAGGTGCAGGAGTGGAAATTACTTGAATCAAATGCTGATCAGTACTAATTTAATAGATGATTAATACCAAGTAGATATTATGTGAATGACCAGACATTTGACAGATAGTTGACATGTTGCTATTGGCAGACAACACCTCCCCAAATTTCGACCGGCTATTCTACGGTGTTCCCATGTTTCGGGAGATGACATACTGAGCTTTGCGGTTTGATACTTAAGCCACAGAGATCCTTCTTTCGGAATCCAAAGATGATAACCAGTAAGAATACTTTGAGCATCAAAGTTTAGGTTCTTTCGTGCACTTTCCACCGGCGAGGTGGAAAATGAATGAATTTGTGGTTACCGCCATATAAGTTTAGATCAGCCCATAAACGAAAAAGTGTATGCGATTTAGAGAATTTCAGCAAATATTTTGCTTTTATCTGGTTTCGTATAATTTTTTAAAGCGAACTGATATGGCAACCCATATGATAGCTATGTTTGCACTCTTTCGCGATAATACCGTCCTTAGCCACTAACATTCATGCAATTGGTATAATTTGCCGAGATATCTACAGTTTTTCGTTAACTGTCGTGTGAGAGAACAGTAAGTTTAACCACGTGGCTCTATGCTTAACCATGATGCCCTCTACACATCAATCGCAGATACAACGCTTTCCTTGGTTAGTAAGTCTTCCTCGAAGTTGTTCAAAGATACGGAAGCGCAAACGTGCCAATATGCTAATGAATCGGAATTAAACGAAGAGGTAAGCTTTGTTGAATAGTACGGGGTGAATGAATGCTGAATGCAGCAACCAAAATAAGACAAATCATCTTTATAGGTTCAGTACAATGCGACGCACACTTATATCCTAATCCGATGCGTGCTTTCATCGTTCCCTCAGCCTGTAACATGCTAAAGGAAACAGTATGTGGGGTGATCAATACAGGTTTAATGTCTCACAAGTTTACCATCTCATCAGATTCCTTAACTCGCAATAAAAGCTGGTGTGTAGTTTCACAATCCCAGTTGAACACATTCGAACACAGATACTGACGGAAGGTTTTGGTTGAAGTTTCAAGCGTAATAAGTTTGCTTTAATAACTTGTTTCTGTCTGCCCTTTTCTTTACTTATTTTTACGCGCAGGAAGAATAAGATAGCCATTTTTTAGATAAGGAAATATGCAAACGGATTTTACTAAGATGCAATGTTCATAGATGAAAACTTTTAGAGACAAAACTTTACACAACTTTCGTAGTTGTGAGCCCTACAAGTACAGTCCAACCTGTCCAAGGTGAGCACTTTTTGTCGGTCCCTTAAATGGTCGCTTTAGACAGCTTTGAGTGTATCAACATCATAAACCTCTGCAAAACCTTTAATGCGATGCAAGCTTCTATGAAAATGGAAGCTGGTCACAAAAACGCATTTAAATGTAGCCTGCATATAAGTCCACTCGTTTTTAATGACCCGCTGAGCGCGTCTCAATTGTCTGCACACATGTGACATGCATAGATCAAACAAATCGTTTGCTTATATTGCGATCATTCCATTTTATCTTGTAATGATGTTTCGCACCAAGCACTTGTCCAGTTGTAATGAATTTTCCTTCTCACACGCTATGCGACCTCATTTATAACAGACCGGTATATATCTAATGATCGTTTAGTAACCGGAACACGAAAGCGAGCAACTTTATGGCAGTTTGACGCATACTAAAATTAAGGCAATTATCAAACTGTAGTACAAGCTTCAAATAGTAACTTAGAGTAGCAAACTTTCCTTTTCCGACAGATGCAAGCATCCTCACGACGCGAAGAAATTCCCGGAAACGTGCCATTAGTCGTTTCGTGAGTTAAAACAAGCAGTGGCTTTTTCTATCTCAATTAGCATCATGCATCCTTCTTACATAACACGAGTATTACTTGTTTCTAAAGATCATGGGTTGAAATCAAACTATGAGGAATTTGAACGTCTTCGCAGCAAAAATATGCGATGATTCGTTCACTAAGACCTGAGCTCATGAATTGATGCAGACAGCAAAGTCCCGGGTTCGATTACCACAGTCAAATCTTTGGAGCGAGCAAGAACGTTAGTCATCATAGCTATGGATCAGACGGACGAAATTGTCTGGACTTGCCCAAGTAAATCATTCTTTAAGTTGAGATTGAGATTCGAAATAAAAGCGCGTTTTAGCACTCGGAAACGCAACAGCATGAAGGTAGATAATTCAGGCCGGACTTATGTGGTTTGTTTAGAGAGGTCCCTGTGTTTTACCTCCGTAAGAGTAGAGTGGTCATCTCAAAATTGAATGTTCGTGTCGATCACCAGCATCTGCAACACTAAGGAAGCCGGATCCGTGGATTACACTAGTAACCTAGTGGTACAAGTTTAACTGCTGGAACGTTGAGATGTGGTTGGTTCGGGATCCCAGCTGATAACCACGCTTAAAGGCACCTTTTCTTTGTGAGCTGCAATAGTTTAAAATATTCGTGCTGATTGTTACATGCATATATTGTCTTAAAAAGAGCGAATATCTTACTGAACTAATAACTTTTAATTTTACAGTCGCTCTTTCCAGCTAACGACTACAACAGTGGGTTTGCGATTCTTCCAATAGCCCCTAAACCCGCTTCAGTATTTTCAGCTTCAGAAGCGGAGTTTTCAGTTTACATTTAACTGCCACAAGTGATCAGAGGCCATTGTAGTTCTCATCAAACACAAATACCATGATTACCAAGGCCGTATTCATTCGAGTAGTGAACGCTCTGTAATTCCATCTCTGGGTTGCGCCCCCATTTCCACAGTTAATTGCATGTTTATTCAGATTCATCAACCAGAAGTGACTTAGGACTGTGACATATCTTAAATGCATTGGTTGACAGCGGGCATCCAATAGTAAACTCATATCGGTCGCTAGCAGTATTCGAGAGAAGCATCATTTGGAAGATATGTTGGGACCAAAAGAGAAAACGCATTACTTCTGTTGTTTGATTACTAGTATAAGCGAAGTTATCTTTGTGAGAACCCTCAGCTGGACGTCAGTAGATGCCGTTGAATAACATAAACAATAGGTGAGTCAACTTTCTTCGAGGTGGAAAGATCAAACATGTTTACGTTGGTGAAGAACAGAACTAACCGTACAAACTTCAGCTCCTTGTGGCGTTGTGACACATGCCATAGCCAAAAGAATATCAGAAGTTGAAAACCCCTAACTGAGTTCCGACCTACTTGGGTGACTTGTTCAACAGTCGGCAAAAGACACGCATGCAGCACGGATATGGATCAACATCAATTATATAAGATCAGTGTAAGCGCCATCTATTGTTTGCTATCCGGTAATTCCTGGGTGGCTGAACGTCGGTGAATCATTTTAAACTGTTTAACAAGACGGTTTTCACGTAAAGTAAGATCGGTTTCTGCAAATCCCGTCATTATCTTTCCCTACTCCGAAAGTACCTTCAGTGATGGACAAAGTGACGAAGATGTCCAACACGAACGTCGCCACTTGGACAGTTCTGCTTCCAATGGGATCAAAGAACTCCGATCTGCGGATAGCGGCGGTCTATCAGCACCCACACGTGACCAGTGCACCTACACCCAACTCAGCAGGCAAGCTGCTGTCGTCCTCGTCCATCAAGAATCGAGTGCACATAACGTGAAGGACAGTGAAGTCACCTGGAGATTTGTGAGACAAGAACAGGTAAAAATACTTTTAGAGCAGGCTTCTGGTTTATTATTCTGAATAGCGCAGCGAGGCCATTATCATGGGAGGATTTACAGAAATTTTTTTGATTTTCAAGATTACATATCCGTCCATGAAGGATTCAAGCACTCAAACAAAGAGAGTAAAGTCCAAGCTTTCGTCAGAACAAGCAGAAAACTTTTCCAAACGTTTGAAAAGATCTCAAGATACAGCCTTGATAAACAGGACCGAGTTAATGACTAAACAACGGAGCCGAGAGGTATCCAAGACAGAACGACAGTTGACCGCCATTTACCGTTTGGACAACGTGAACTCTGAAGATTACCAAATTGCTGGTATGTCTTCTTTTTTGCTTTGTTGCTATATTTTTTGCAATAGTCCTTAGAATCATTACGAGTGGGCAGCATAATGAATGTTAGCAACTACTACTCAGTCCAACAATAGTCTAAAATTAAGAGTTTCGCCGGCAGGACGGATTTACAATGAGACGAAGCGAAGAGAAATAAGTACTTGGAAAGGGGATAAAAATTTATTTTAGCAGCTGGAATTCAAAACATGTATTCGAACCGACCGCCCACTAGCAACAAATTCTGGTACAAACGCTCTAAATGATTCACCGAGTTCTTGATGATATAATCGTACCCCATTTGACAACAGTAAGTTGACGTGCCTCCTATGTGATGACCACATTCTCCTGCCTACAGCCGCCTTTTAAAACGCAACATTCCAAACCAGCTAACCAGATCGCAACTACTTTTTATTCTGAGAGTTTCATACTCGGGTTCCAGTCCTCGTTTCTTTTGGAAAGTAAACTGTATACTAGAGGATTAGTTGCGTCCTCAACTCACGACTGCCATGCGCTGGGGCCATCGTAATTAACCCTATGTCTGTCTGTGTCTTGTGTTAATGGAGTTTACATTTGTTTCGCTCAAAAACTTCTGTTCTAGTCCTTTGTGCGACACGAAAATTCCGTTTGTACTTACCAGTTTCATTGCTTAGCTCTGGCACTATTCCGCATCTACACACTAGGGTCGTATCAAAGTGACTGATCGAACAGCGCCACTTCGAGACATTAGCTCAATATCTACTACCTGTTCGCCAAGGAAGGTATGCAGGCACCCACGTGAATATCGTCCACTGGTAATAAAATGTGTCCCCACCGAGTCATCGAGGCACGCTCTAGTGAGGATCGTATGTAGTAACTGCGAGTAGTTCCATTGTACAAGGTGCATACCACTGGATCATTGCGGAAGCAACTGGATAGCTTTCGGCTTACTCCGCCCTATTATGCTCAACACATTAAACAGAGGAGCCCTGCATGCTATATTGTAGATCCAACACATTAGCAGATATCTAAGGCACAGGTCCCACACTATCGCAGCGTAATCCAAGTGATTATTCCGCAGCGAACATTGATCACTCAGGCTGATCGATGGACATCGAACACCTACCAAAACACAGCTCAAATTACCAATAAATAGCATTGGTTATTCAGGATACATCCTATTCCTCAGATTAAGCTGATTTCACTGCAAATGTCCAAGCGCAAACAAGCTTACTACTTCAGGTTGCATAAAGCTTGCCGTGCACAACTTGTGCTTCGTCGCTAACCTCCGGGTGTTTTCACGTACAAGCTTAATTTTGCTGTTTATGAAAAGAACTGCAGTTGTTTTCCTGTCATTTGAGTTATGCATGTTAACTTTTCCACGTTCAACTCCCATGCAGATGCGCTTTCGCAGCGGGAGGCTTCAACTTATGTTAGCCTATTTCACTACCGCACGCCATAATCGCATTATTTTTCTCAACCGCGCGTGTTCGCAAGCATTAGTAGCACTAACTGTTATGACCTCATGGTTAGGACGAGTCACTTGCTCGAAAGGAAGGAACCACTTTCGGAGTGTACACACACAAACACATCCACACACAACACAAATAGTAGCCGAGGCAATTCCATTCGTAAGACCTCTAAGCCTTAGTCGCCAAAGATTTTCAACGCCTGAGCTGAAACGGGTGACCACAAGGAACGTGGACCCCACATATGTCTACAGAACCCCGAGAGAGAAGAGAGAAGGAAAACAACTCGTTCGCTTAAGGCACCTATGTTGTTTTACAAAAAAAACGAATACAGCGTTCTTCAGCTTAAATAAGAACAATATTGGTGACGTATATGATTTTTCACAAAGAACTATTTTCGTAGGCGAAATTTGGGAAAGAAAGTTTTGAGCAAGTGATTGCGAGAGGCACATCTCTAATAGTGACGGTTTGTAAGTGGAGAGCCTACAAAGAAAAAAGTGCATATATATTTCCGCTGGGTCCGTAAAGCAGGTGAGTAGCTGAGGATAGCCAACAAATATATGGACATGGTGTAGAGGTAACCGTGGTTACAACATTTAAGCCATCCACCCTAAACAGCTTAACTAATCAGAAGCAAGTCCATGGTTTCCCCAAATGACCGTTAAGTGTATTTCTTGAGTCATGACTAAAGACACGAATTCTCCGCGATTCCGCGATTCCGCGAAATTTGCTAACTGTAGCGGAATGTGAAAATTTTCGTGGAATCGTGGAGATATGAGAAATTCATAAAGGAAGCTACCTGGCATTCATTTTCTTTGTAAGCAATAAATTTTTGTTTCGGAAGAAATGCCAAAGTAGTCAGCTAGCTGTTGGAACCTTCCTCTGTTGTATCCTCAACAACATTCGTCCACCATTCGTTATCCAAGTCCGCTTGTCCCCAGACCCAAATGTCACCCATGCAGCTATCCATTAGGTAACCATATTCCATCCCTCTGCGCCCACGCTATGCACTCATTCTATTTCCATTATACAAATACCCTTTACCCACAAGTAAATTAAAACTGTTCGACATCTGTTCTGTCACATTTTTGCGCATGTCTAACCGGCAAACATAGCACCTAATTACGGTCAACCATGAAGCTGCTTTACTGTCGCATCTTAGGCGTTGAGCAGCGAGCATGTTGTTGTATAAGACAAGGCGGCGCAATACGAGCGACCGTGTTAATTCGCAGACAGACTAAACTCGTCATCATCTGTCAATATATTGCCTAGAATGGCGAGTTGTACCCCCTTTGAATACTTCGAGATGATACTTTTTTGCCAGTAATAAGCAGTAACTGTTGAGGTTTGGCATTACTGAATTTGCATCTTTCTCTGAATAATACTGTGGTTTAGTCTCAGCATCGTTTTCGTTCGACTCATTACTCGAGAACCAAGCGCAGCTGTTGCTTACAATAATCAACAGGTTTTATCGTTTGCAAATGTCACCTTAGTAAAGGAAATATAATTTAGGAGGAAAACTGCCCTGGACATAGTAAAGGAGTTTCCTGGCAAATCCTACGTCGATAACGCGGATACAAAACTACTCTTTTGTTCATCTTGTGAAGTGACTGTGGATTCATCTAGAAAAGCAACCATGGGTGACCACATTCGCAGCCAGAAGCATCTTCAGAATAAAGCTTACAAGTAGGAGCAAGTAGCTAAACTTGTTGCCAAGGAGGAACCAGCTCCGAAGAAAGCTTGACATGCAAGCATCGTTAGTTCCATCGCCGTTGCGAATGCTGCCTAAGAAGCCCGCGATACAGTAGGACCAGATCCTCTTCCTCCAGCCCTATTCAAATTCGCAGGCTCTGTACTTGTTGATGCTTTACATGAATTACTAGTGAAACTGTGGGAGCAGGAAATGGTTCCAACCGACTACAGACACTCCGTTTTTGTTCCCAGCTTCAAAGGCGGCCATAGAAGAATCACTCTGACATCCATCTCCTCCAACTTGCTCGCCTCCTTAATCCTTCACAGACTGAATGGCGCTCTTGAAAGCAGATTCGTGAGGAGCAAGCCGGGTTTCGTCGGGGTCGTGGCTGCATCGACCACATCTTCATCATGCGTTAGCTGTTGGAGCACCATCACACATATTGGCGGCCCACAATAGTCGTGTTCCTCGACATCAAAGGTGCCTTCAATTCGGTTGATCGATATGCCCCTTGGAACTGTCTACTCAGGAGAGGTGTGACCGAGAAATATGTAATAATTATCCGAGCATTATACGCGCGTAGCACGGGCAGAGTGAGGGCTTACGGCAAGATGTCGCCACGCTTCAGTATCTCCGGCGGTGTGAGAGAGGATGCCCGCTGTCACCTTCCCTGTTTAATTTCGCTGTTGACAAAGTCAATGAGATGGCATTTACAGGACTTGACTTGGAAGGTGTGGAGATACTCCCAGGAGAATCACTTCTCAACTTGGAGTATGCAGACGACATTGCGCTCATCTTTGACAGCTCCCAGACGTGCCGAGCCTCGCTGGACAGATTAGCACTGGCTGTCAGCCGCTTCGGGCTTTGCTTTGCACCATCGAAGTGCAAAGCGTTCCTCCAAGATTGGCATAGATCGCCTTCTGCGCTGACCTTTGGTGGGGATCAGCTAGAAGTGGTGCGGAAATGTCGGTCGGTGGTCGAGTGGTCTGCACGTTTGGTTTGCAACCATAAGGTCACCGGTTCGAATCCGCGTAAGGGTAGGCGTCTTCGCGGTATACTCAGCCCGCGCGCGACTGGTGGTCGCGCGGCAGCGAAACGCCGTTACGGCGTACAGCTGACACATCATCATCATCATCATCATCGTGCGGAAATGCAACTACCTGGGAAGTTGTATCAGCGCTCTTGGGCTCGAACACGAGATCAGACGAGATTGCAAATGTTTGAAGTGCTTTTGCTATCCATCGCCACCTATGGTGGCGGCGCGACATTAATCTCGCCCCGAAGAGTAGAGTGTATAAGGCAGCGGTAATTTTGACCTTATTGTAAGGTTGCGAAACCTGGCCCCTAAGATCGACGGACATGAAGAGGCTAGTTACGTTCGACCATCAGTGCCTTCCCAGTTTGGCTCATATGTGGTGGGAACACCGCGTGATTAACCAGCGTGTTCGACACCTCTTTTACGTCACAGTGCAAGGAACTGAACCGCTCAGCACCGTCATTTCACCCACCAGGCTCCGATGGCTCGTCCACGTGTTGCGCATCCCAGACCATCGACTTCCACGATGTGCATTGTTTGCTCACCGGGGATGTGGATGGAAGAAGAGGAGGGGTGGCCAGGCGATGAGTTGCTCGAGAGGAATGATGGCCCTCACTTCTGTGCTGGCCTCGGTTGGAGCGTCACGGCTCCCTGGTTGAGGTCCAAAGGACGATGAACACGTTTGGGTGGATACACTTGCTGACATGGCAAGGAGCCGACAACAGTGGCGCTCTTGCTGTGCCTTTCTTTGTCCCTTCCCTTCTCTTTTAGCCTCCCCTTCCACCTACGATCTCATTTCTTAGCGTAAAGCACAACAACCGTTTCTTTTTGCCTAGTAGCCGGCTGGTAACTCGCCGGAACCATGCCTATCCGTTGTTGGTAGCTCAGCTGGCATGCAATTTTTGTATTTTTTTCATTTATGTATTGCGGCACAATACCTGAGGTGTTTTCCATCTCTAACTGATGTGTATAATGATGTATGACGGTATCTGCAAATATTTCTCTAGAGAATGCCGACAATCCCCAGTTTATTAAATTTCTTCTTATATACGTGGGAAATGGTGTAAGCATTGTGGGATCCAAAGCGCTACGTCTGAAAATCCCCCAACTCTACCGGAAACATAATCATACATTGAAAAGGATGTTCCGTGTTTATCAGTGTTATGACAGACGAAACAATAGACGCTCGCAGAAACATGGAACTACAAAACCGGTTATGCGTACCCTTGAACTCCAACAAGGACAGTCTCCAAGCATACCTCCTTGACACGGTCATTATGGTGAGAGTCGGTTCTGCCACAGTTGGAGGAGTTATTCTGCGCAACTTGACAATGATGTGTATAGAGTTCAGGCATATGACGGCCTTCGTTTCCGATGGCTCTATATGTATGACAGCATGTTACCGAGTTGTCATTAATCCTGTTTGTGAGGATTCAGTTCACACGAGATGTGTTGCGCATTACATCAATTTGATTAGAGAGAGCATTCGCAAATTCTTCGGAAGCCGACAAACTGGTTGCAGAAATGAAAAGTGCTTCTCGTCTTTCGGCGAGAATTTGGCGTGTCTACATGGAGTATGTAACTCAGGTTTGTGTGGATAACCCAGCCGGCTGAACTGCACCGGTCATTACCTGTTGGAGCTCATGGCTGGAAGCGGTTGCATATCATAGCAAGTATTCCCATCGTTACCCAGTTATGTTACTAACTATACCGCACGAGTCTGGAGAATCGGCTGGGGCTTGTGTACTGGTGGATATTTTAACCAAGGGAACATCACAGAGCGCATTGAGATGTCAACTGCACTGCATTACACCTGTTGGGAAAAACATTACCCGTCACCATATGACCTAAAACCACATCTCCGATCTATCCACGTCACTGATAACTGCTACTGAAGAAAACCTGATGCAACATTCACAGGCAGTGAGACTCCCCTTTGATGCGTCCATCAGAATCCAAACTGACATGCAACTCTGCTTATCCCAAGCGGCCAAAAATGTCCAGGAGTTGCTGACGTCATAGGCTAACTGGTCATTTTTGAAGGCCACTAGAGTGCTCGACCCCAACCAGCTCATCACCCTGCTCAATGATCCATGCAAATATGCTGACATTCCAGGCCTGGTTAGCTCGCCAGCTCTGGCAATGGTGAAAAAATCTCCAGGAGAAACCTGTGAAGACACGTTGACTTTCTGGTACGGGATGCATGGAAGAACTCCAGCTACTGGCAGACATCACCGGCCGTTATTTATGCATACCCGTTATTTCGGTAGACGCTGAAAGGAGCTATAATGCATACAAAATATGCTGTCTGCCAAGCGTCACAACCTTTCCAACAGTAGTACGAAACACCCTTTTGGGCTTTATTATAATTCCAATTTTTATTCATGACTGAGATGTATATGGTGGATGAGAGTGACTTGATTTCTGATTATTTTTGTTTTCGTGGTGAAATTGTGGAACTTAATGTTTGCACCGCACAAATTTCGCGGACTTTTCGATTTCAATCGCGGAAAACATGTTTCTTTATTGCGGAAAATGCTCCTCTTTAATCATGATGAATCAATAGCGAGACCAATTCCATTTACAAGTGTGAAGCGTAATTTGACAAGAACACAATTGTGAATGATGGCCGGAATAAATTGAATTCTTCTAAATGCGGAGCCTGGTTGCATCAGGTGTGCTGCCAAGTATGCGAATGTTTGAACCTTAATGTTTTAACTGGCGAGGTCTTGTGTTAACGTGCGTTCTGCCCAACACTAATACGGTATTCATTTGGTTTGGTTACAGTGAGCCGAACGACAGTGTTAATGTTCGCTAGAGCCTCAAGTATTACGACACAGTACAAATATTCAGTCAGTTTTCAGCCAACAAAATGGGAATCGCCAGCAGCTGTAGGCAACATTTTTCGTGGGTTATGGTTTTCCAGCGATGAATGCGGCACTCAGTAGTTGCAGTACCCCAGATGCGATTCACAACCTCAGATACTTCATGCTGAGCAATCCACAGAAGAGCGCAAAAGGTGACAGGGAGGGTGAGCTAGCAAAAATGGAAATCTGTCTGCACTTTGAGTAAGTTAATGTAGTGGGATGTGATCGGAGTTCGTCTTGGAGTGTATAAGTTTGGTACTCAAGGCAACGCAATCCAGGCATAACATTTAGACAGCGCTAAAATGAAGTAGAATATCTGCAAATTATTTAGAATACCAGTGGCTCAGTTTGTGGATGTGAGGATTGTTGTGATTTCCGAGCTGGGCAATGTGGTTGCAGACGTTTCGTTGTCAAAATATTCAACATCCTCAGTGCAGACATAGAGGTCTGATTTGTGCTTGTAAGCCACTGCCAGATCCAAGTGACTATTGATCGTCTCGTGCTTTGAATGTATCTTTGATTGGATCACGTGGGTCGGCCAAGTGGACACCTACCAGATCGACAGGGCGCAGACTTGGTTACTTGGCCTACCCACATGATCCAGTCAAAGATACATTCAAAGCACGAGACGATCAATAGTCACTTGGATCTGGCAGTGGCTTACAAGCACAAATCAGACCTCTATGTCTGCACTGAGGATGTTGAATATTTTGACAACGAAAAGTCTGCAACCACATTGCCCAGCTCGGAAATCACAACAATCCTCACATCCACAAACTGAGCCACTGGTATTCTAAATAATTTCAAGACATTCTACTTCATTTTAGCGCTATCTACTTGTTATGTCTGGATTGCGTTGCCTTGAGTATCAAACTTATACACTCCAAGACGAACTCCGATCACATCCCACTACATGATCTTACTTAAAATGCAGACAGATTTCAATTTTTGCTAGCTCACCCTCCCTGTATGTATCAGACCGCCTCACATGCGTACCTCTCAAATCTCCGGAACTACTATCTCTTCCCGTATCCCTCAGGATTCGCGTCCGCGGCTCTGGTTCCACCAGTTTTACCCTTGGAGTGGTTTATCGCCCTCTCTCAGCTGCGCCAGATGGCTGCAGTGCTGGAACGCCGCCCTCCGAGCAGCTGCTTCAGATTTGGGTGCCCCCTAATCGTCGCAGGTGACTTTAATTTTCCGGAGCTAGACTTTACCTCTGGCCAAGCTCGCAGTCAGCACAGCCTTGAGTTTCTTTCCAGTGTTCTAGAACATGGCCTAACCGAACATGTACAGCAGTACACTGGGTGGCGAGACGGTCAAAACCCGTCGAAACTCGACTTGCTGCTCACCAACGAGCCACACCTAATTGACAACGTTAATTTGAGCACCCCAGTTGGTGCAAGTGATCATGCAGTTATCAGTTTTGGTGTGGTGGCGAACGTCACGCTCAACGCTAAAGCACTGCCCATCAGGCTTAACTTTCATCGAGCGGACTATGACGCGATCAAAGATTTCCTCTTACGAGTCGACTGGTCCCTGGCAGCAGAAACCCCCACAGTCGACAACCATTGGAACTACATCGCCGCTCACATCCACGACGCAATTAGGGCACACGTCCCCACAGTGCGCGCTTATGCGCCGAAACGCCACAGGCAACTTCAGCCTGCCACGCTTTGGCTGATCAGGGAGAAGAAGGCCCTCTGGGACAGATTCTTACTTTTTGGCGACTCTGATTCGCGAGCACAATACTGTAGAGCGCGAAATTCCTGTATAGCAGCTGTTCGCCAAGACAGAAAAGCGTACCAGCTCTCTCTCGCTAAAAGTTTCGCCGATAACCCCAAGGTCTTCTTTAAGCATATAGCGTCTCTCACTAAATCGCGCGCTGCCGTTGGCAGCCTGCTCAGACCCGTAGGCAATACCACAAAGTCGGACAAATATGCTGCGGAATTGCTGAAGACTCAGTACGAGTCCGTTTTCGGCACCTTCGCACGCAGTACAACGGAAGGCGCTAATTTTACCCCCATCGCTGCCAGACATCCTGTGCAGTTTACGTCAGAGAAAGTCCTGGAGAAATTAAAAAACATTAAGGACTGACAAATCGCCGGGTTTGGATGGGATCCCTCCCATTTTTCTAAGTGAGTGCGCTACGGTACTGGCCGAGCCGCTTGCCTTACTGTACAGCCTCTCCTACACCAGTGCCAACACCCGAATGCTTGGAAGCAAGGGGTCATAACGCCGATATACAAGGGTGATGACAGGACAAACCCCTCTAATTATCGCCCGATAGCACTGCTTCCCACTGCCGCCAAAGTAATGGAGAGTATCATAGACGATTTCTTGCGCTGCCATTTAGAAAGTCTGACCTTAATAGCCTCGGAACAGCACGGGTTCCGCAGGGCTCACTCGTGCACCACGAATCTTCTCACAGCCCTTGATTCCTGGACTGCAGAGGCAGACAATCATACTCCAACTGACGTGGTTTACGTGGATTTCTCAAAGCATTCGACCGGGTCAATCACGCACTGCTGTTGAGTAAACTGTCGAGTTTGGGGATCGACCAGCAAACAATCTGCTGGCTAAGTACCTACCTGTCTGGCCGCACCTACCGAGTTCGTGTAGACGGCACACTCTCTAGCGCTCTGGCTGCAACAACCGGGGTGCCCCAGGGAGCCATCCTCGGGCCCCTGCTGTTCAATTTGTTCATCAACGACCTCCCATCCTGTATCAGCAGCCCCATACTGCTTTATGCGGACGACGCTAAGATATGGCGACCTATCCGCAGGCTAAGTGATCAGGCACTTCTCCAGACAGATATCGATGCTGCTTATTCTTGGGCCTCGAAAAATTCGCTCCCGTTTAACATCGACAAGTGCAAAGTCATGCACATTGGGCAAGGTGTGGCTAATCCGTACAATATCGGCGGTGTGCATCTTAAAGCCACATCCCAGGAACGCGACCTGGGGACCATAATATCCGCCGACCTGAGCCCGAGCGCCAATGTAACTACGCTGGCGCGAAAGGCTAGCGTTCGCCTGTCCCTCCTTGGACGTGCACTAGGGTCTTTCCCTAGAGAGACATTTGTCCGTCTCTATAGCACTTTAGTACGTCCGCTGCTGGAGTACAACATACTTGTCCAGCTGCCGTACCTGAAGAAGGTCGAGGCCATGCTGGAAACTGTACAGCGCAGAGGCACTAAGAGAGTGGACGGACTATCCCACTTCTCGTATGAGGAGTGTCTGGCGGCCCTTAACCTCATCCCGTTGAAATATCGCAGGCTTCGTGGGGACCTTATCTTAGCTTATTCCGTCCTGACTAATAACAGGCACCCAAACGCAGGATTGCTGGTCCGCACCCGTACAGATCATCTTCGAGGGCACTCACTCAAACTGATGACTCGTAGCAGTCGCTTTCTTTGCCAAAGAAACAGTTTCAGTGTGCGTATTACCTTCGCTTGGAACGCCCTCCCTGAAGTTGTTGTCTCAGCGCCCAATACGGAGGCCTTCAAACAGCGCCTAGACGCTTGGCTCTTACCTCGCTGGTCTTCCACGTTGCTAAGATCTGGCCATTTTCCAAGCTAACACGCGGCGCTTCTATCATTTTGCTTCTATCCAACTTTGCCGAATTTACCTACACCACTCTCTTGTTCCAGGTATCCACGTTCCCACGAGTGACCCCAATCACGTATGCAGCCATTTGCTGAAACGTAGCCACAACACGCAGCTCAGGGGTAACTGCCTAAAGTTGAAGGAACAATACAGCCGTCTAGAGTGTCGACGGAATTACTTTTCCCTCCGGGTTTGCAAACCTTGGAACGCACTACCTGACTCAGTTGTATCCTCTCCTACCCTGGATGTTTTCAAAAAACGATTAGATGTCGCTCTTAGCTCCCAACATTTTGTTACCTAAATTCCCCTACTGTGGATTACGCCAAGGATGCATTTCTACAAGCTTTATGTATCAAATGGACCTAAGTGAGCGACCATATTTTACTTTTCTCACTCTTTACCTCAATGATCACTGCACCCCATTGTCTTTCTGCATGTTTCCGCCCGATAATTTATTTTAATTTTACGCTGATGTTGCTAATCAAACTATTCATATCGGCAGACGTTCGATAGATGACCCAGACATATTTTGATTTTATCATATTCACCTCAACCATCCTACGGGGCGTGTCAAGCACTTGCTTTTATCCCGTGATAAATCATTGTTCATTGTTCATTGTTCAACTATCTCAGCCAATTCCCTCCAACTGCTGTGTGTAATCATTGGGCTAGTTGTGCATGAACGAACTAATTGTAAAAGGAACGTTTGTCTTCCGCACCTTATCTCGATAATGGCTGACTTATCCTAACTTCAGTATGAGCGATGTTCAGCTGGAAATATAGCTACACCCATTATTGTGACCAATATATAAAACAGAACATGTAGCATCAACATCAGCATGTTAATCGCTAGTCAATGACTTGCCGGGATTTTTCAGCTTACATGGACTAGCCAACGTGTGGACACTTGCAACAAAAGTTGTTGGGTCTTGAACACCGATTTTCCAAACTGCATTCCAAAGCGAGGAAGGGTTGTAGAGTACATGAATTCCAGGGATAATTGTTGATCACTACACCCAATTGTTCAATCCAATGTACGAACGAGTGTGGAATATTATCAGCAGCAACCGAATGGTACCCAGGAGTTAACGGGACACATGTAGGCTAACGACGTCACTATTACCGCTGGCTTTTTAAGATGGGTATGCTTGAGAATGGGCGACCAATCTAAGGGATTTATTAGTGTGCCTTTTTTCTCCAGGTGCTTTATAGTGTGGTGACTACAGAACGTTTTACGAGAACTAGTTTTGCCACTACAAGTTCAAGCGAAACAGCCGACTTGCTCCTTCTTAAGCTGGTGCTACCATTATTTTGGAGCGTTACGAATTAATCCCCGTTACCTGGAGCTTATCAAGCAATCCTTTCAGATAGGGGTAAGTGGTCTCAATCAGCGCATAAGGTTGCCGGGGGAGCTTAGTGACTCATTGATCAGGACGTCATTCATCCATTTCTCCATGCCCAACTCCGAATCCTTCTACTTAAAGACTTCATGCGAGAGCGAACAGGTGGTTATGCATAGTTAGAATGCAGCGACACTACACACGGCCAAGGTTCAGACCGCTTTTCCCCAGCCAAGACCGAACTTGAACTTTAATT